GTTTAGGGGATCATAGTATCACAAAGTTTGAGAACCCCTGTTCTGGAGTACTAAAGGTAGTTCTTGTTTAGTGACCACAATTGGGACTGGTATCATGGTTGTTAAGTGAAGTGGTCGCTAAATAAATAAACATTCATCTGCCATGCCATCCAGTTCATACTTAATTAGGTTGTAATCAGAATATCATGAGGTACATTGTTAAATTATTTTCTGAAATTAAAATGTATTATTTCCAATAGTGTTCCCACTATCTAATAAAGAACTTACCCTATCAAAAAATGAGTAGGAGTTATTGTGATAAGACTTGTTCTGGACAAATCGGAGCTGGCTTCTAATAATTACTGCTTTTTCTCCAAAACGCTTATAGAGTGATAGATTTATAATCCCTCTAGAATCTTCTCAGGTATTATTATCAAACTGATTGGTCTATAGTATCCTGATCCTCTTTTTTCATTTTTTTACAATAGGAGTGTTTGCCTTTTTCAGTATTCAACACATATTCGCTAGTTTTACAATAGATAAAGTTTTGGCCACACAATCAAATTTCTTTAGTACCTAGGATGGAATTCATCTAGCTCTGGATATTGGAACTCATTGAAAATAAATATTTTCTGACCATGTCTCTATCAACCTGGCCTTTCAACTTTCTCCTCTCAATTGTTCTATTAGAACACATACCCATTAGATGGAGAAGACTGGGTGAAAAAAGGAATAGGGCAGCTTCACCTTTTCTTTGTTACTTGGTAGCCTAGCATACTGCCGTCTTCACTGAACAGATTTGCTTCCTTTTATTCTGAACATATCTGAAGAAGCCCTTTTGGTCATTCTGAGCATTCTTCGCCATCTACATTTCCAATTTTTGTATAATCTTCCTTGGAGACACCGTTATTCTTCTGAAATTTCAAATCATCACTGAACTTTTTGGTCAACCACACTTCTTTTGACACTCTTCTGTTTTTCTCCTCCACAGGAATTATTTGGTTTATTTCCTCCTTTCTTAGGAATTTCTATTTCTTACAGCTCTTTTTCCACTAGCCTTTCCTTGTCATGGAATCTTACTTAGTGTTATTCTGTGTTTATTACAATCCACTTTCTTTCAGTTCAAGTTATGTATTTGTTAAATTTTAGTTTTTCTTCAACTCAAACACTTTATTATTACATACTTCTCTCCAATATTCATGCTATTTCCCCTTCATTAACTAAATATGCATTATATGTTAACATTAAGGCACAGATAACTTATCTCCTTCAGCAATTTTTCAGCAAGGCAAGTCTGAATATCCTACTCCTTAATGCTTCCTTGAAAGAACTACAAATTGTTTTGGGAAAGCATTTAAAAGTATCCTAGTTAATGTTTAAAGAATGCATCTTCTATACTGTTAATAAGTTTGTGTTAAGCTACCCTACACTGAAATAAAAACTCAATAAATGTGATATATAAATGGCATAAGGCATAAAAATAAATACAGAAGTCTCAAATAGAAGTCCATTGTAGATTGCTGTTATGGCGAAAAATAAGAACCTTTGCAGGAAATTCTCTAAAACATGCTATTTGGGTGCCTAAGGAATGGTCTGTATTACTGCTAGAATCTTAACCTGGATTTTTAAAATCTTTTGCTCTAGCAGAAATGTCAGTCATAGTAGTGAGAAAATGCAAGCACATATGTTTCTCCCACTACAAAGAAAGATGGGAGCAGAAATGCAGTTGCTTCTTTGCCAGCGCCCCTCTTCCAGAAACTTAAGATATGCTGTTCATTTCAGGAAGAAAATCTTTCCCTTTCAATTCACACCCTGCCTAAAACACAAGAGAAATGGTAGAGGATAAAGGGGTTAGGAAACCTTGGAATGAGCAATTAAGATTCCTGCCATCAAGTCAGAACGATAAGTTGCTCTCTCTTAGCCAAAAGTGAAGAATAATGATGACTACTAAAAGAACAGAGTGCAGTCACACTCCATTGCTGTCAATGTTGAGCTAAGTAAACCTTTGGATACCCTCATGTATTATGAATGACTGGAATGTAAGCCATTGTTCATGAAAGCAATATCTGGTTACTCAAAGATTCAGCACATACCACTCTGAATTGCGTTTTTTTTAAAAAGAACTCTGCATTTAAAATAAAATTCTGGAAAAGAGAAAAAGGTCAAAGGTTCCAGAGCAAAGTTAACATACAGACAGCAGGTGCAACATTTGGATATGATGTCAATGAGAAAGTGCCCAAGCCTTGCTAAAAACTAACTTGAGATTCTCCTGAAATATTGAAAGACATGATCATATTGATACAGTGAAATAAAGCTTCAAGATTTGGCTTAAATAAAAGCTCATTTCATTAATACTTTGCATTCCATTTCTGGGATGAACTGTAATACATACTACTAAAGGAACTGGGATCAATTCATAGATATATTTTGACACAGTAGATGTCAGCCCTATAAGGTAGAGCAGACTAAGAAACCAATGCCATAGTGGTCAGGACTATTTTTATTGTAACAGCAACAGTAACAGAATCTTGCAATTCCAGATGTGCTTCCCCACTCCCTCATTTTATCTTCATCTGAACTGGGGAGGGGCCTGTCTGAGACATTTACTCAAATTACTTTCTTGGAATGGGCTCAAGCCTCACTTTTCCTCCTGTCCTTCAAAGCCATTCCCTATTCCCTCTGCACTAGAATAGCTGGAAAACGTCTTAGAAGTTCACTACAGAAGACATATGAAAATAATAATTGATTAGAAAATCAAGTCAAACAGGTGCAAAAGACATCCTTCTGCCTCAGGGATAGGTAACTTGGTGCCCTCAAGATATTGCTGTCAATGGACTGTAGGAGTTCAAAATATCTGGAGGGCATCAGGCTCAGTTCAATTTTAATCACCTTTGGCAGATGCTCTCAAGACTGTTTGTTAACCTCCCTTGGGGCAAAATAACTTTTTGCTGATCTCCAGTTGATATGGGTCATACTTGTTCCTTTGTATCTTCATCTTTGTTACAAGTAAAATTTCATTTTTGTAGTTGTACCAAGAAACTTTTATAAACCATAAGATGGAAAATGGTAGAAAAACTAAAGCTAAAAAACGTGGAAATGAAATTTTATTGTATTGAGGTTTCTATATTCTTCTGAGTTCAAAATAGCATTGTCAATGAAAATGGCACACAAACAGATTATGTTGAAATGATACGACTGAATGTCCTCTGACAAATAGTTGAGAGCTTCTCAAGGCAACCCTACAGCAGTAACATGAACAAGAACCTTCTTTCATATCTATTGTTTTGCATGTATTTGTGTTGTGGCAGCAGAAGATAAAATTGTGATAGACTGGGAGATCAGAGTGATTTACAACAGATTGGTAAGGATTTTCAATTCCTAATTGTTTTAATAATAATGTAACTACAGATGAAATTCCCCCCAACCTACGCTGTTCTGCTTAAATGATGAAAGTTTTGGTGGGAGGCAACCAGGATTGAATTTGGATGCACAGCAACTGGAAGCTCAATTTTAGTTTTGCTAATTCAAAATGTATTTTTGGACTCAGAATTCTGTAAATCTAAGAGCATGTCTTTTGCAAAGTCAGGGCCAATGCATCTTGAAGTTTTAATATAAAACAAAATAGATATCATAAGCTTACTTATGTTTTATGGTGTTAAGGAAATGAACTGAGGCAGCAGCTGCAAATTACTTAGAGTGCTGTCCGTGAATGGTTGGTGCTGATACATTCAGGCAGCAGAACTGAAGCTTTATATTCTTTCATGCCTGACCTATTCCCACTGTCCAAAAATAGAAAGAAGAGGCTGCTCCCCTTGGTAATGAATTAAGGAAACATTTAGTAATAGGCATGTAGAAATATGGCTTATTCTATCTTGTCTTTCTACAAAAAAGGTTAGCTGCAAGATTAAATTGGAAAGCTCCATTTAAGTACTAACTTTTAAATATAATGAACTAGGTCTTTTCAACTTAAAAATATTTCTGGCCATTTAAAGAGTATTTTGAATTAAGTAGGGATAGCATGCTTGACTTTTCTGGCTTAACAATGAGTGCATGAACATTGAGATAACTGTAGCTTGTGGTAGTTTAGCACCATACTTGATTTACTGTTTCTGTTTATATATCTGAACAACTCTTCAGAGGGTTACTAACTTCAGTTATCAAAAGGGAGTCAATCACTTCAGTAAATCAGTAAATTCATGCAAAATGCACAGGCTTCAGTAATGGAACTTTATTCAAGACACAAACTTAGCCTTTCTACATCCAGTGGCCTGGAGTACAAACTAGAGCATGTAGCAAATACTGCCAACTGACACTACTTAAGATGCAAAGGTGGAACCAGCAGCCAAGTAGCCATTTGTGCTCCCTGGAGTTTTGGTATGGTTTCCAGCCTCCTCCTCAGCTTTCACTAATTATAAGTTTAAAATAAATACAATAGTTTTAAGGATGGATAGTATGGCACAGTGGACAAACTTATAAAAAACTTGGACACATAGCAAAGAAAGATTTAAAAATAGAGGAATTCACCACGGTACATTCCAGGTATAAAGAGTGATGTGTTGGAATCTTATCTCCGGATAAAATTTCACCAGGAGATTTAGTAATATTATGCTGTTGTAAGAAGAAGTATAGCATGTTCTATCGCAGCTTAACAAATAACATATAAATTGTACCATATGTTTTAACAGATAAGAATCCACTATAGCATTTGATGAAGGAGATTTTAACCTAAAAACCATTATGTTATAGTAACTTCACTAGGATTTGAAGTGCTAGGGTACACTTCATTGTTTTAATCTTTGGGAGTGACAGAATCTAAAGGAGAGTAAGCCTATTAGCCATTATTGTTTATTTTTATTTTAGGATTTATATATTGCCTTCTTGAGTTAAAACCAAGATAGTCTGAAGTAAACAATATAATGCAAGACAAGCATGGAAAAAAGAAAGAAAACCCCTTCCCTCAGCCAAAATATCCAGCCTAAAATTCCCAAAATGTTCTATTTTAAATTTTAGACATTACCTACCTTTCTTGCAAAATAAGTTTATTTTCTTTTTTCCAGAATTCTTTAAAATCAGAACTGAATTCATGCCAAATACTGAAGAAAGCGTTCAGAGAAACCTCCTTTTCACCCATTTTTGGTTTCATGCAGAAATATGCTGCAGTCTCCAAAAAGCTATCAAAGAAAACAAAGATGGCGGCTATTTAGTTAACATTATTTTATCTGCATCCTTCATACATAGATGATACTTTTGATAAATTACTTGATATTTATCTTGAATATATTCATGATTCTTTCATCTTCATAATCAACATAAGGAAAGATAAAGACTAGTATTTAGTATCTGCAAGGGACTGTGAAAGCAAAATTGTATTGAAAAAAAAAACAGTTTTTAAAACCAAGAAAACTAGATTGCTGCTACTGTTCACATGTTACTTTTTCATAGCATATCAGTCCTTTTACAGTACATGTCATGCTTGCTACTGTGATTCTTAGGGAAATGTTAATTCATTGTTACTGCACCAAAGACACCATACATGCTTTTATCAGGCTGACTGCTCCACCTGATTTTTTTTTCAGTTATTAAATAAATGAAAATATTGAAATTGATTATTTCAATTAAAATAAATGAAAATAAAAGCAGGAACTGTCACACTGGATAGCAAAGCATCAGTCTCCAGCAAGATTAGCAGTGATTTGTGAAAAAAATATGCCTGTGCTATGTGTGCATGGCTGGCTATATTTTGTGCCTATATGCAATATTTGTTATTGCAATATATAACAATATATAAACGCATACTAGTTTTTCTTCTATGTCCTTTGTTAATTTTGTGGATATGAACGTGAGAAAAGCTCAGATCCCACCTCTGCCTTGTACTTTTATTCTTGGGCAATTTACTTTTCTTTTAGTGTTACCCATTTGTCTTCTAGTGAATGAATTATTTATCAGTGGCAAAGCCACGATGCAGTCATGTTGGGAGGGAACTAGCCCCATTCTTTATGTCAGCTATTTTACGAATAAGCCCACAACATGTCCTCAGCATTCCAAATACAGCCACCAGTCTTAAAAATTGAGGATTGCTGAACAGTTGTATCCCTCTTACATAATAAAGAAATGCCACATAATGATTGAATTCCATGGTGGGCAAAAGGTCCTGGAATCAAATCAAAACCATCCAAAAAAGCAATTATGAAACAGCCCTTGTTCTAGAAAATTGTATTAGGAAAGACCAATGAAAACTTTTCTTTGTTCCTTTTGTCGTAATCTGATAGACGGCAGATGCCCACAGAATAAAACTTGGCCAAAGGGGGGTGGAGTCCTTGATTTATGGTAGGTGAAAAGATTCCTCTCTCACAGACAAAATCAAACTCATAGGGATGGGCAATATTCTGGGTCTTTTCAAAGACATTGTAATCAGTGTGCAGCTCATTGAGAAAGAGGGAGCATGAAATTGAGGGAGCACTAAATATCACCACTAAGCCAATGAAAATGATAAGCCAATGAAATACAAATACCTTATGTTCTCCAGACTTCACATATTTGCTACAGACCACTGTATATGCAGCAACTGTGTTTGCCATATAGAGTCTGGAACTACCATAAGGATGAT